GAGGCTGGTGCTCCAACAAAATGGAGCCGGAAAAGAAGGAGGTGTACTGGTCCCACGAGCAGATCCACGTGGAGGAGTACCCGTGGGCATTCAAGAATGGGGATCCCAAGCGGAGGATTGCGGCTCTGGAAATGCTGGGCACGCTCTTCCTCTGTAACATGATCCTCACGCACCAAGGCCCTCTGTCCTCCCGGGTCCGACTCCCGGTGGGCAGCGACAATCAGGGCAACGTCATGGCGATGCTCAACCTTGGATCCAAGAAGCCCTACACCGCGGCTATCCTGATGGAGCTGGTCTTCCTGCTCCACACCCATGGCTGCTCGCTGGCGGCCAACCACGTGCCCCGGGAATTCAACCAGTGGGCCGATGAGCTGACGCACCCAGATTTCTCTGGGTTCGACCCTTTGCACAGGGTCCCTAAACAGGAACTCTGCGAGGAGTTCGTTTTTCTCCCGCGTCTCCTGAATGGAGATGCATTTGATCTTAGCGTGGGCCCACCCATGCTCCCGTGACCGGAGCCGGTGGGTGACTCACTTCCCCTGGTGGCAGACCCCCCTGTGGCCTGGGTGCCCCGGGCCCCGGCTCAGGGGCGGGCGCTATCAGTCTGCACACCCGTTCTTCAGTTTTTGAGAGTTTGTGGTGGGTGGCCCATGGGGCCCACCCAGCCGTAGACATCTGACAGGGGAAGATGAGTCCCTGGCACCAACACATTGCTTGGATAAAAGAGTTATCGCTTGCTTGTGTGGTGCCGTTTGGTTAGCTTACATACACTACAAGTTCTTAAAGCATCACCATTTTTCTACCCACACGAGGAAACCAAGATCTTGGCGGCACTTTTCAGGAGAGAATCTAAGGACCCCTGTTGAGACGAGACGGGTTCTTTCGAGGCAAATCGAAGAGGAGCTGAAGCAAAGGCAGCAGAGCCTTACCTGCGAGCGCCAGGAGGCCGGAGCTAAAGGAGTGTCCTCCAACTGGTCAAAGGCCACCAAACACCCCACTTTCCTGGGGTAGGATACATTTGACATTTTACCAGTGACTCAAAGTGAAGCAAGCAATAAAATAAACATTCTACAACTGGGCCTAACTCTAATCATGTTTCAGGTCCCCTTTCAGGCATTTGTTGATTCTCAATGCGGGCTGTTCAAGATCCTAAGCTCTAGTAAGGGCAGATGCTAGCTCCAATTCTGATGTCAGACTACAATGCCTGATCGCCATGTTGTGTTCAAATGACTTCGACTAGCATGCGTCCACACCAAGCAGGCAACTATGTTGACAAACCAGCGCCGGCATACGACCGCGTCGACTTAAATGCCAATGTCAGCAAGAACGGGCTCGGAAAGATGATATGTTAAAGCATGCAATCGTCATGTGCTGCAAATACGTGTCGTACAATCAGTGCAGGCTGCTGGATATCAGAGCAAATGTTGACCGGCGTGGTTGCGGGCTATGTGGCCCGATGTTTGTCCAACAGGTTGAAGGAGCTGTCGCTGAGTGGTAAGTAATCCAGCGGTAATCCAGTCCCTTCCTCAAAACCCCCGCACGTAAGCATCTAATATGGTAAATCAAGAGAGATATTTTCTGGGGCAAACATGCTACTCATAGGTCCCAGGGCATCTCAGACGTTGCCACTTCAGTACTTCAGTCCTGCCCCAAGAGGGTCACAAACCACCGCCGCACCGGAATCGACATGAAACATGCACATCGAAGCTAAACATGCGCATCGAAATTATTAGGTGTTTTAAGTTTGTTTCGGACCTGCAGCAGTTCAACATTGAAAGGCATGATTCATCTTAAATACTGAATTCGATCATTTACCCTGAACATACACTGCATTCCATTCAAATTAGGCACCTGTGGGAGGATACCTGGAACCGGATCTTGGCCTCGAGACCATTTCCTGTAAGGTGCCAAGCTAGTCGTGGAGCTGGCTTTCTGAGTTCTGGAGTTTACACTTTGGGGAGGACCAAACATATAGATCAGACTTGCTTTGGCGCCAGTCCACTCAAAAAGTCAGAGACAGGCTATGAAGATTAGAGGCCCTGAAATCTTGGTTTCCCTGTGGCTTCCCTTTGGAAATCCACCCAAAGGTCCCCCGAACAAGACACCCAGGTGGCAATTTTCACCGCTGCACCTGCGCAGCCAAACACCTGCAATAAGCTAGCCAAAAGCTCGGTATTTGGTTGCTAGTTGGCGACTTCCTTGTTACCTCCCTTCCAATTCACATGGAACCTGACGTCCGACAGGTCCTGGTTCGGACCATTTTCCGGGCACCCGAACGTCGGGTGCCAAAGGGCTGGGACCGCACCCGAAGTCAACTCGACAGGTGGAGAGGCTTCGGGAAGGGCAACGCTTGAAGGCGGCCGTCCGGAAATGGGAGGACCCCGTCCGTTCCCTTTTGGCATTTTTTGGCCAGAAACCCTTCGAGATTTTGAGGATGGATTCAAATCCATAGGTGAGAACCTTCCATTGCAACAGTAGGTGAGATAATTTTGGAATGGAGTCCGATTGAAGGGTTTTTTCATTATGTCGATTGGGTGAGAGGGCAGTTGGTTTGTTTTGGCACAAATGTCAAGGCGTTCATACTCGGAACTCCCCAATATGTGTCTTAAATGAGCCTCGGGAAACAGCGGGTTGAGTGCATGGAGCCTCAAAGTGCCTTATGGGGATTTGCTCAGTCTGCGGCATCATCAAGTTTTTACAGGCTAGTTTGATGGTCTGGGTAGTGAATTCTAGGCCCTTGCCATGGTTGCTTGCTGCAACTCAGCGGACAGCGGCACCAGCATCACGGAGAGGGCTCTCGCAAGCTGCTTGCTAGGCAGACGAAATTGCGGAGAAAAGCCGAGAAGAAGCAGAGAAGTGGCAAAAGAAGGCATGTGCGGCATGGCTGTTGCTTGACCTGCTGATATGTGCAAGGATCACGCACACCAGTTCCTCAAATAGGACTCCATTCTTGAGTCTACCTCAGGCAGACTATGGCAGACTGAACGCCAGGGTTTGCCCCGAAACGGCGCAATCGACCAGCTGCAGGGAATTCCACCGGAGGTTGGCCCAACCCACTGGGGTTTGGTTACTGTGGAATCTGCTGTCGCTGGGTCCCAGGAATTGTACACATTGTACCAAAGCAGCACAAGGGGATATCCAACACAGGAAGAACGGCCATCTCCCGTGTTTGTAGAGGCCATTTGGTGGAGCCACTGCCTCACACGCGGTGGTCCAACTTTCTATCCTGCCGCCGGAGCGAGCGAGCGAGATGGAAGGTAGAAGCGATCCAGAAGCAGGCGGCGAACCAGGCTTCGGAGCGCGGGCGCCTAGCTGGGAGATGTTAGGAGACACGTGCACGGACCCACAAACACACAAATCAACATGCGCCGTACCTGTGCACAATATACATAGGACAAACCTACCGGGGCCCTCAAAGTTCCCTTAGCAACGGGCTGTTGCCCCAAAATTGTGGGCTGAGTTCCCTCAAAAAGTTCCCTTTGCAACCACCCGAGTTCCCTTGGGCTTGGGATGGGTACCATATACCAAAGCCAGACAGCCAGACCGCACGCAAGTCAGTCATGGTTACGGGCCTCGCGAGTTGGAAGGAAGCCCACGTCTGGCTGTTGAGGTGGCAAACTTTCAGCCTGTGGGTGGATGGGTTGAGCTTCACTGTTCTTGGATCATTTTTTTGTTTTTTTGTTTTTTTGTTTTTGTTTTTTGGGTTCTGTTCATTTTTACTGGGGGGTCTGCAAAAAACACAGTTTTTTGCTACCATACCAAGAATAGAGAATCAAGGCCCCAAAAGTACCGGCACTGTTCTTTGCACGGTCATGTGCGCAGGTCAGTGTAGAGGTGATTTCCTTTTAGTTTGCCTTTCAAGCTAGCCTCAACTTCACTGTGCTTGGCATGTTTTTTTTTTTTTTTGGGGGGGGGGGTTCTGATCATTTGTTAGTAGGGGGCTGCAGAACACATAGTTGTTTGCTACCATACCAAGGGTTGCAACATCAAGGTGATTTGAGCAGATCAGACCTTCACAGGGTCTAGTACCAAGGTACATGCGCCTGGACACTGAGAATCGGTCCGGCCACCCTCATGGTGTCGCTCGGTGGTCGCAATGGTCCAAACAGCCAGGCCGTTGCCAGGACTCGCCCCCCTTTTCCTCACTGGCTGTCAAATGGCCCACAAAGAAATTGCGAAGAACAAACCATGTGACAGCCGTTGGGGTCCCGGTCCTGCCCATGTTGAAAGGGAAACCGAAACGTGGGACATCGTGGGACGTTTAAAACATGTCAAGTAGGTGTTTGGCGCAACCCTGCCTGGGCCATTCCCGAAAGACCCCCAACACCAGGAGAAACGGCAGGTTGTCTGAAAGGATTGTTGAACATATGGGGACAACCTCTTTTTGCGAGCCTGCAATATGTTGATCATGTTTTGTTTTGTTTTTACCAAGGCACACTCTCGCTCACTCACAGCATGCTGGGGGAGACCCAAACAAGAGGCTCGTAAATGGGGAGGTAGTACCAGGGGTACTTGACAGTTCCCCTGGCACGCGGGGCTGTGCAGTCAGGTTGTTTCTACTTATGTCCGTTCTGGCTTGTTGAGTGGACTTCGGCGACCAAAGTTCCTGGTGTTTTTTTCCTTTGGTCCTTTGGTGGTACCTAGCAAGACAAGGTCGCCAGGCCTCAGTTGTTTGTTCCCCTCATTCAAAATGGATTTGCCGGGGGGAGGTGACCCCTGGAATTCCAGGGGGAGGTGACCCCTGGAATTCCATTTTTGGTTCCGTTCCCCCTTTCATGAAAAAGACTTGACACATGGAATGGGGTCCCGGACCCCCTCCCCTCACCCTCCATTTGCTTAAGTATATATGTTATTTTCTTTTGTTGGTTTTTTGGGCAATCAATTTCACTACTTCAAATCTGTTCATTATCTCCTGGGAGCGCATTCGCCAAAACGGAGGATTTGTTTGCTGGTGCTGACAGGGAATGGAACCCTCGGCGCTGAAGAGCCTTCATTTCCGCAGGGCCCAAGGAGAGAGAAAGGCCACAGCCATGGACGGGCCGACGGAGCCGGGAAGCGGGCAAGTGGGCTTGCCAGGGCAGCTCGGCGAAAAACTGCCCCCCCCCCCCAAACCAAAAAAAAACAACATGGAACAACTATATGGATATAGGCACCCCCCCCCCCCGAAATCAATGTGGCTGGGGCACCCCTCAAACACACGTTTTTTGGAACCCACCTTGGACCATTGGACCTTCAAAAGCTTTAGACCTTCACTCCTTACCGGGAATTACGCTGCCTTGACGCTGCCTTGGGCATGGACTCCCCTTCCTATTTGTCAAGAAGAATGGGCCTCGGATGGGCCAAGCCTTCAAAAACGAACAGCGAGTAGCAGATTGCCATTGGACAAATGCGAATCCCGTTCCAGTTTTCCCCGCTAAAGTATATGTTTGCATGAATACATATACAAACATTTACACATGCATTTGTATGCAGATATATATTCATGACATGTACAAAGCTGCATATGCATGGCTAGGGAGAGACTTGTTGATGTACGTATGCCAGATGCATTTGTGCACCTGGCTGTATTGAGCCAATAGCATATAGCAATAGCAAAGGGGATGCCCACCTCAAGCGATGTATGCGACGGCGCTGAGGGGAAGCTCAGCGGCTGCCAGTGAGGCACTGGTATGGGATGTCCCGCGAAAAGATCGGCATGGCTTAGGCCGTATCAATTGAAGCTAGGAGACGAAAATTTGGGTGTGTCTCAAAAAATATAGGGGTTCTGGGGTTACGCAGGTGTTCGTCTTTCTTATTCCTGGGGGCCAAATGGTGGATACCAGTCTTTTTGAGCCACAGCCAAATGGAACCAATGCGCCATCTTTGATGCACACATGCTTCGGTTTTGGCATCATGATCTTGCATTTGAATACCCGACAATGATACCTGCCTGACAGTGTCCTGGTCATGCTGTTTGCTGGTGTGGTTCCATTCGACTGGTCGGGCTAGCGTCTCAGTTGCGTCATGCCATAGCGACAGAGGAGCTAAAACCATTAAGGGCAAAGACCTAGGGGTTGGTAGGCATGGTTTTTGAAAGTGGAGCCGGAGCCCTTGGGAGTTTATAGACAACTATTGTAAGGGTGCCCGTTCCTGTAGTTGGTGGGTTGGTGGAAGGGTACCTGTCTGCCTTCCCTCTTCTCTACATGAGCACCTGACCGTCTTCTCAAAACAGATATCCAACGATACCCATTAGTGTGTCTGCGCCATATGGCTACAAATAGTTGGGGAGTGGCCTCAAAGCGGCGGGTGGATATGAATCCATATTGATAACGATGTCTACTAAAGGGATCAGTATCAAGCATCATACCCATATAAGCTATGGTCAAATTTCATGTTATGTATACAGCAACGGGACAAACCACCGACTGGCGCGAAGTCGATTTTGTCCCCTTCACAGGACTGGTTCATCCGGGGTCATTGGCATGGGGTCGCTTCCTGTTGCATTCGCTCATTCGCGAGGTTCGAAGCCCGATGGCAGCTGGGCTTCACATTTTTTCAGTGGAGTTCGCGAAGTCGGACGCTGGCGGGGCAGGTACCAGAACTACCCTTCAAGCCTTCGCACTGCTGCTTTTTTGGGGTGGTTTTTGAAGCTTTTAACTGTTTGGATAGCGCCTACCTGACCCCATTCGGGGTTTCCTCCGAGTAGGCCGCGGGCCTCGCAGGATCGGCGCACGCGCGCGTGAAGAGACGTCCGCTGGGCAAGAGAAGGTCGAAGGTGGAACCCAAAGGGTCCCCCTCAAAGGCAAATCGTCCAGGCCCCCAAACCGTCAGGTTTGTTTCTGGAGGGGAGGGGTCAGAGATTTGCCTTTCCAGGGCGGTGTGGACTGGTCCCTGAGCGTCTTTCGACCTGGGAAGATTCAGTGGAGGAACTGGGGCCCTGATTCCACTGCATGCAGACTGAAGTGTGGTCAGGGCAAAAGGGGCCACTCACTGTGCGCCAAGTACCCTGGCCTACAGATCCCAGGCCTATCAGTGTGTTTGTTGGACCCCACCCAACAAAAATGGGGTTTCATTTTGTTTTCCGCTTAAATCACCAAGCCCTGTGTACCCTCAGAAAAGACACACCCGAGTGCTGGTGCTTGTTTGTGCCATGATAGGTGGCCACAAAGTGCTGGATGTGCTTCGGGCCTTGACACCGCCCCGAGCCGAATCATGTGATGTTGAGGCTGCGGAGCAAGGCGCGCCAATGGAGCATGGAGAAGTTGAGGACGCGGCAACATTTGCAGATAAGTGGAATCGGGTTGTGGGGTACTTGAACACCACAATAAGCTTATTGATGTTCACACGGTGATTCATACGAGGCTAACGCGTGTAACAAACACCAATGAGCCGCTATGTCTTGGGCTTTCCTTTGCCTATATGGGGCTTGTGGATGAACACAGGCGAAATCCTTTTCGCGCCTCGTGGGCATCGTTGGCCTGATTGTTTTTGAGGGGTTCCCTTACTGGCTAAACGAAAGAGATAAGCCAATTTACGGGCAAACAAAAGACTAGTAGGCCCCCCCTGACCTTTCAGGAGAGGTTCCTTCTAAAAATCATTCCTTCGACTATACTGAAATGAATACGTATGTCTTATTCTCCCCTGTTGTTTTTTCAGGGAATCGATCTTCCCCTTATAGTTCAGGGGGGCGAGGGTAGGCGACTCGACAGGACTTCTCCCAGGAGCCACTCGCAGAGCGCCTCACGAGCAACTTCCTCAGATGTGGGGGGCGGGGGGCGGGTGGTTCTCGGGTGTGCCATGGAAAGACTGAATGCCTGAACTCGAGAAAACAACAACTCACCAAGACTGGCAAGGTGAGTCACAATCAAAACCCGGGTAGATGAAGGTTAGTAAGGGACGATGCCAGACAGAAATAGCTGCGGCCGCCTTCTAAATTCTTTACATGGTTCTGGGTGAATACCGGGTTTTGATTGTGACTCAGGTGGGTTGATTGTCCAACAGCCGCCATGTAGTCTCCTCCGAAATTATAGTTTATGCATGGTTGGCTAAATCTGGGGCCGAATCTGAAGACATTTTTGTGTACCGCATTTGATTGAATATATCTTAGGTTTATTTTCCGTGAGAGTACCTTTTGCGTTGGGGTAAAGGAAGCCCAAAGGAACCCTTTCGGAGGCGGCGTCGAAAAGGCCGCACCTGGGCCATGGGTAAGTTTTCCCGAAAGGAACCTCTAAAGGGACTGGGTATTTGTTTCGTTGTTCCAGCCACCCGCGAGGGTTGACGCCGGATTCAGAAATTTCTGGTGGACCAAACTTGGGGGGGAAGTGTGTGTTCTTTGGGGTGGCGGGGGGGGGGGGGTTCATGAGGTTGGGGGGCCCTATTTGGGCCCACTGTGAGGCTGATTCCTTGTCCATTCTCTTCAGGCATCATATTTTTTTTCAATACCCCGCCGTTTCCCCCAAGAATTTTGAGCTCAGAGGGGTTCCCATACGAGCCATTGCAAGGTAAAGACCTGGCCCGGCGCTGCTCGGGCTACGCGGAGGCCCAGGCAGGGAAGACGGAGCTGCGGCAGTTTGCTGGGGGTTTTTGAACCCCCCGCGAAAGGCCGATCCCAACGTTGAAGTTTTTTCTGTTACGAGCCGAGGTCAGACAAGGGGCCTGGAAACTGTAAAGCTTCGAATACTTGGATTGAACAAGGGTACAAGGTGCGTGGTGGGCGGGCTTCTTGCATGCATTTTGTGGGTCCAACTGTTTCTTTTTGACGTTTTCTCCCGAAAAGTAACTTCCCCCACGTTCCGTAGATGAACTTCAAGTCCCTTCCTTAGTCGAAGTTGGACGACTTGCTGGTGATCCGGTTCTGGCGGTTCCCTGAGCGAAAGCCAAATCGGGTGGATGGGTTTTCTTTGGGGAAGCCAAATTCCCGAAAAAAGCACGCCCGATTCCCTTAATTTAAATCGAAGCCCCATTCTCCATAGAAAGCCCAAAGTCCCCTAAACTGAAGCCACAATCTCGTAACTTAAAGCATCGTTTCTCTTGGGGTCATTCCATGTCTCCTTCCCATCTCTCGGACTCGCAGCGATCGCAGCGAAGCATCGGATCCCGCGCCCTCTTTGAAGGCCTCGATGGCGGACGGCGAGGTGTGCCGAGTCTTCGCGGCTTCCGCCGAGCAGAGCCTGCAGGAGGCCCTGCCCAAGGCCGCATCGGGCGAGAGAGACATCCGACGGCTGACTTCCTCGGACTTTAGGCACTTCTTGGGTGGAAGGGCCATTCTAGTGGTGAAACAAATTCATCTTTGTGCATTTTGCTTGGATGTTAGGATTTTAGAAACTTGTTGCCAACTAATGGGTTTTCCAGTAAACCACTAAAAGCTAAACTTTTGGCAAGGGAGCAGAAAGCAACCGAGTTATAGTAGTAAAGCAAACAAGTTTGCACTTTTATTGGGCCATCCACTCGGGAAGTGAGCTCAGCTTGCTGGTGCGACAAGTGGAGAAGAAATGGAACGACCGCGAGATAAGCCATCCAACCGGTGGTTTCCGGTAAGGATGTTCAAAACCGATTCATTTGCAACACGACTCGGTCATTCCCTGCCTATCGCACCAGCAAGTCAGTGCCCCCAAGAAAATCGAGCTTTTGAGCTTTGAGTTCCCAGGGTTGGTTACTTTTAGGCGGGGTTCCAAAGGGTTGCCCTTGTGAACAAGTAAGTGCTCCATGGGACGTGATGTTATTTATTTAGGGAACCCTGGGATTTTCGACGGGAACAAGTGGGCAGCAAGCTTGTATAGTCTAAATACTGAACCTGATAATTCAAGTGCCATCTTCTAGCAGTGTGTGAGCTACAGTGCTAGTTGTTTGCGAAGCCATGGAACATGTTTCAATACCTTAACAGCACAAAATAGTTCTCCGTAGACACCCCATGAAATGGTGAGTTTGGCCCACTGCTCCCATGGACACATCCCAGAAGGGCGCGGGAGTTCCCAGAAGTATGCTGACAGGCAGGCATGCTATGGCATCAAATTCCGAACATCGACGTCACTTGACATGTTGAATTGGCAGCAGGACTATTGCAGGAGGACAGAACAGCACGTGAATCCTTGCATGCAAGGCATTGAAAGCGCAGGAGAATTCGTTGAACGATCAGTCTTGTTGAATAATAACAAGACTTGTTAACTGCTATGATACATTGATACTAACATTTAAATGAGTAATCATGTTCATTATTATGCTATAATATTACTATGTTTACACAAGAATCGCGTCCCACAATCCAAAACATGTTCTGCCAATGCTTGCTTGGCATATTCAAGGCATATTCATAGACAACCCAATGTATGTTGTCCGAACCTTGGGTTGAGATGGCCAAGCAAGAGCTTGGCTCTGGCCTCCCGAGGATGGAGTGAAATTGGCTAGGGGGAGCCAAGGGAACGAAAACAGGTCCGGGCTTTTGCCAATGGCCCCCACGGACACCAATACTCGGATGGAGCAAATATTGCACCGCTTGGTAGTTGTTAGCTGTTGTTCTATCCCGACTGGTAGGTTTGTGGATGTTGCCCATCCACAGTGGTAACCATTTCATTGCTATGGGGGGTGTCTTTTTTGAGGTTGGACCCCAACATGCTGGTGTTCCTTTTGGTTTCCTTTGAAACCCACTTACAAAGGGGTACTTTCAAAAAAGAAACACCCATGGCCCACCTCCGTTGTTCTTTCGGATCTTCTCTCGGGTCAAATCGAAAGCCAGGGCCAGGATGCGGGCCTGAATGTGCCTTGACTCTATGGGCAGGGGTCTATAGGGAACCGCCTCAAGAGCAGAACATGAATCCCCCAAACGACGGCCACCAAAGGGTGCCTTGAAACTTCACCTGTTGCGAAAGCCAACATTGTCTTTGTTGCGGTGAAATTGGACATGTTAGGAGCGCTGGGGACCAAAAGGTCCAACGCAACAAGTTGCTCCCTAAAATTCACGGCCCCTTCTCAACAAAAAAGATCCGGCCCCATTGAGAGGGTACTTTGTGGTTGCTGGAGAATGGGGTGTGGGAACCCACAGGATTAACTTGGTGGGTGAATGGGGGTTGGCATGAATGAGGGGGATTGTGCACAGCGCGGGGTGGTTGAGAGGAGGATTGAGCAAGTAAAATACGCCCTCGGTTAATTTCGAGTGGCGAGTGCAGCTTCGATCCAATCACTTTTATGAACACCCTCTACCCATCCGGCTGGTTAAACATTCCAAGTCAACATGACCTAAATCGTGGAAAAGCAGCAAGACTAGGACACGGCAAGCCAGGCGGGAGGCTCTTAATAGCGTCTGGTGTTTGCATTTGTCAATGCAAACCAGCAGGAGGGCCCCATTTGAGACCACGCTGTTCGTGTCCGGTGAAGGCTCTACGTGCTGTGTCAAACCAAGTGAGTGACCAATTGCCAATTCAAGCCCCGGGTGTAGTCATTTTTTGAGATCAGCATCCAAAACAATGAGCAAGTCCAAGTGAACTCCCAAGTTTCGCAGCGGCGTGTTGTGCGAGGACAGCCTTGTTGGGTGTGCTTTAAAGGAAGCCAGGTATGTGAGGGTCTCCCAGTTGCGGGGCAAACCAGGGTGAGTCTGAAAGGTCCTCGTGAAGGAATTCTCTGAGCGTCCAAAAGGTGCACTGGTAGTTCACTTGCTGTCCGTTTCCCTGATTTGGCTTGCTTTTAGTCAAGGTTGCAACAGGTTAGCCTTTCATTTCCGGGCTCTTTTGGCAAGTGAGGAATACGATTTCCCTGATTTCCCTTTACCATGGAGGCCACATTCTACCCAGTGCCGATCAGGTCGAACGGGAGCAACCAATCATTTAGGACCTCGCCCTCCCATTGTTTCTCAGAGCTCAGCCACGTGCTGCAAGGCCGTTTGGCCTTACATGCTATTTTTCTACTTCGTTGGTTCCCTCGGTTTCACGCCCCTCCCATGGTTTGAAGGAAGTATTTGTCAGGGTCTTTCGTAGGTCGTTCGAACTGTACCCTTAGAACAGCGTCGATGTTTTCGCCCCCCCCCTCCCACCGCCCCAAGGCAGCAGCGGCTTATCTCCAGCACTGCCCTGGCATTGCCGACAAGCCCAAGGAGCTGCTGCCATGGGCGCCTCGCTCAGCCCAAGAAGCTCCCAAAACCTCCCGCTGTGTTGCGATTTGGTCTTCCTTCTCAAAATGTCAATTTGTTTGCGAGGTCTTGTTTGAGTTTGTTTGGTTCGGCTTTTTAGTTTGTGTTTTGAGTGTGTGTGTGTGTGTTGTGGTTTGCCCGCCTGCCTGCCTGTTTGGCTGTCTGTCTGTCTGTCTGTCTGTCTGTCTGTCTGTCTGTCTGTCTGTCTGTCTGTCTGTCTGTCTGTCTGTCTGTCTGTCTGTCTGTCTGTCTGTCTGTCTGTCTGTCTGTCTGTCTGTCTGTCTAGCTTGGTTGGTTGGTTGGTTGGTTGGTTGGTTGGTTGGTTGGCTGTTTGAGAAACATGCACGGTAGGGTGGGTGGTTTGAAAGTTACTCCCGAAAGTATGGGCAATTGTTGATCCACGCCACGGCAGATCCGTGGTGGGATGGCACGAGGGACTTGCTTTGGCACTGGCAGCGTGTTTGAAGGAGACTCCTGATTGTGAAGTTTGTGGCATCCCCAACCACAAAACAATGAATGTACAATGAACAATGTATAGAGATTATAGAGGGGGGGGGCGCCCCCTAAAAATATTAAAGGAATAACAACATTTTAGTGAATAAACAAAGTGTTTTTATTTGTTCATATCTGTTCTTTTCCTATGATTTAATTTATCCTCTTCATATTTCCATTTATCTGGTTTCCTTTCTTTGCCTCAATACTATGCCCTTTCGAACACAGCTCTTTGTGAATGCTTTGTGAACCGAACTGAGTTCCCCCCGATCCGACTGCTTGGGCTGAGCTCCCTGGCGAGGTGCGCAAGCTGGCTGACCACAAGGCCCGGAAGGGCTACGGCCAGGTTCGTGAAGCTGAGCGGTTACTCTTCCACCATGGAACCTGAGGTACGGGATCCTGTCCCTTAAAAGAAAGGGAAATGGTCCAAACCGTTGGACCGCCCAATAACCTTGGGCTCCATTGGTTCCATGTTGATTGGCGGGAGGGGAATTTGCAGTTGGAATTTCCGAGCTGGGGTCGCTTTTGGTCGAGCCCTTGTCTACTCACTCCTCGAGTTCCTGGACTATGAGTCACCTTTTGGGTTTGGACCATTTTATTGGTAAATAGCATGCTTGGTCACTTTTTTCGGCCAATCCACTCAGGAAGTGTGTCTAACATGCCCCCTTTTCCCCCAAACAAAGCAGCCAAGCCCATTCGGATTGAACGGCCAGAAACTTGAGACGTGCCAGGCCGTCGACAAGCCAAAGATTCAGCAGCTGGCTCCAGTGATTATTCTGCTCATCGCGGAGATTGTCGATCCCTGGCTTTGGGTTTCGATATCCCACCCCTAAAACCGGGGCGGGGGGAGGGGGGAAAGGTCCAAGAACGGACCTTCCCTTTGCGGGGAAAATGGAAATCACTGCAGAAATCAGGTGTGGAGCTTGGCTCGTCACTGGTCGCCTTGAGCCCCCGGCGAGAAATACGGTGCAGCCCCAGCACGCCAATATACTTGTGACACATGTCACATGTCGAGATTGAGCGCGTTGATCTATGGTTCTCACGGATGTGTTCCCCCCTAAAGGGGGGCATGTGATTTGGGGGGTTAGCATTGGCGATTTGTCGCCTGTGCACAGTTCAGTCATCACGTTGATGCTTGCCCAGGACATACCCCCCAAATCACATGGCCATGGGTCATAACCTATGGCTCCATTCTGGGGCGGATGAACACCCATGTGCCACTTATTCTGAGGTTCACCAGGGGTACAGGGTTTTGCCCCAGAGCCACATGGCCCCTTTAAGGGGACAAGACGGCAAAGCCTTTCCGCCTGCCACTGCGCTCGGCACTAAGGAATGCCCCCCGGTGTTGCAGGAGCTGACCGCTTGCCTCAGCGAATTGGAGGCCTCCAAGCAACCCGACCAAAGAAGTCCCGATGGCGTAGCCTGGGCTCCCCGCGGCTGTCCAACGCCCTTTCTTTGTGTCTGCAAGTGTGCGTGCGGGCGGGCGTGCAGGAGCGCTGGCGCGTGCGCGTGTGCGTGTGGGGGTGTGCGTGTGGGTGTGTGGGTGTGTGTGGGTGTGTGGGTGTGTGGGTGTGTGTGGGTGTGTGTGGGTGTGTGTGTGTGTGTGTGTGTGTGTGTGTGTGTGTGTGTGTGTGTGTGTGTGTGTGTGTGTGTGTGTGTGTGTGTGTGTGTGTGTGTGTGTGTGTGTGTGTGTGTGTGTGTGTGTGTGTGTGTGTGTGTGTGTGTGTGTGTGTGTGTGTGTGTGTGTGTGTGTGTGTGTGTGTGTGTGTGTGTGTGTGTGTGTGTGTGGTGGGTGGGTGGGTGGGTGGGTGGGTGTGTCGGTGTGTGGGTGTGTGGGTGTGTGGGTGTGGGGGTGTGTGGGTGTGGGGGTGTGTGGGTGTGTGGGTGTGTATGTGTGTATGTGTGTATGTGTGTATGTGTGTATGTGTGTATGTGTGTATGTGTGTATGTGTGTATGTGTGTATGTGTGTGTTGTTGCTTTTGGCTACCTGCCTCTTTTTGGGGCTTGTTTTTAAAGGGAACAGAAGGGGCATAACCATTTTGACCCATTTCGCACTTCAGCCTTGGTCTTTGGATGGCAAGCTTAGCTCAATTGTGCGGTGGCACCAATTAGTTTCCCCTTTTCGATTGGTGCATTCCTCAAAAATGAGAAACCCTTGAGGGTAACTTACGGCGACTGATTCGGGGATAGGGCGGTCCCTTCGCTTGGGGGTCCCTTCAATCCAACGGCATCAACACATGTCGGACTCGTATTGGGCAGCTTCGGTTGGAGCCCATTTGGGCCACCCGTAACTGACCGCATTGTTTTTGTATCCCCAGTGTGGCAAGGGAGGAGCAAGGACCAGCTGCTGGCTGCTGCAAATCTCATATACCAATCACCCCCCACCTTCACCAGCTCCTCAACAACCCAACCCCAAACCCTAGACCCCCGACCTTTCCGACCAAACCAGCCGGAATCTATTTGAGCTTAGACCCGTCCCCAAAAAGGGGGTCCCGGTGTGAGAAGCGGTCGCGGCTGAGGAAAAAGAGTGTGGGGTTCGTGAAGAAGCAGGTGGCCTTCATTGTCAAGGTGGTGGGTCCTCTGGCTGCATTCTGTTGCATGCCGGGGACGATTCGATCAAATTTGATCTAAGCGTGCGGAAGGGGAGGGGGGACTGAAATTCAGGGGGCCCTTCCGAAGCCATACAACTTGTTCATGCGTCTATACTCATTCGTGACATCATCAATTCCCAGTTCGAGGTTCGCTATATATATATTTACATAGTATATCATATGTATGCCAACGAATCTGGAAATGTCTTTTTTGGGGAGTGGAATCTGAAGTAGATGTGGGCGTTTCGCGTTGCTGGGCGGAATGGCTGAGACGGCTGGGCTCATCTCAGGCTGCCTCTTGGCGGATTTCGGGGTAAAGAAGATGCCGCCGAAGCTCGGGTACTTGAGCTGCCTGGTGGCAATCCTTTGTGCTGCGTCAGGTTTGTTTAGGATCCCCCAGTATCCCCCAGCCTTTCTCACCCTTTTCTTTTGGTCCCCTACTAAAATAGACTACCGAAAAGAGTTGGTACCAACTTATTCTAACCTCTCTACTGGAGGACCTAGTTGCAGAAATGAGGAGTTGGTTCCCGCTTTGGCGATGCCATGTATGGGAAGGGTGTGCATTGGTATCACACGGACTTCCTGTGCTGTCGGGATCCAGAGGAGCAAATCCCCCCATTCCCGTGGCGCTTTCCTTCCAAAACGGGGTGCGGCCAATCCAAGAGTGCTTCTCCTCAGATGCACAAAACTGGGGTAGACTTAGGGTACATTTTACATTTTACCAGTGACTCAAAGTGAAGCAAACAAGAAAATATACATTCTATAACTGGACCTGACTCTAATCATGAAATGGTCCCAACCTGAAGTTTGATTTGGTAGTTGCTCTCCGATGTTTTGACTACGACGTTGCTAGCAAAATGGATGAACCCTTCGAGTGCGGGGGGAAAACTGCGACATCCGCCTCATGGATTGCGACAGCTTCATGTTGAAGGGCCGGTTTGGCGTATCGTAGAGGACAGAAACTTCTCGCTCCATTTGTCGATTTGTGCGGCCCAAGAAACAACCTTGCGTTCGCCAGCGGCCCGTGGTCTCGCCAACGAGTCCCATTCTTTCTGAGGGTGGTTCATTGCAAGCAGCGAGGCATTGTGTTGAAGTACGTGGCAGACAGTGACCGCGGCATACGCGAGGCATGCTACGGCGCCTTGGCCTGTCATGATGCTTGAAGGAAACATATTGGGGGCCCTTGTTAGAGTCGCTTCAAACAAAGTCAGACATATTGATCTTATTGCCTTTGGACAAGTGCGCTGTCCCGTTTGATGCCACCTTCAAACGGACCACCGCTGCCACTTTGTGCAAGTTGGCCGATGTGAAAACCTGCTTTCCCCTCATGCGTCACTGCTTCTTGAAGACTACGCGGGGTGGTCAAAGCATCGCTTTGTAGGGATGGCCAATCCCTCATAAATTTTAGACCTAAATCACGGTCAGAGTTCTGATTCAGGAGTGGCTCATGCGCCCGCAGTCCGGTGTCAGGCCAGCGCACATTCAAGACATTTGGCTCCCCTACCCCCCAGAAAGATTCCCTGAGCCTTCGCCCCTTCAAAGACTCACTCCAAAGCGAATCGACCAGATCTGACCTTTGAGTTGCCCCATTTTTAGTCATGGCCCAGAAGGGCCGGGCGAACCTTTTTATGTTTGGGTCCCGAAGGGGCAACTGAGGGTAAGACCATATCCGGGTGCGGGAGGTCCCTTGACCTTCTCGCCCCTTTTTTCACGAGGTGTGCTAGTGGAGCTTGCGGCGTGGATCGGAGACATCTCTGAGCTCGTCAAGGAGATGGATGAGCCGCAGAAGAAGGAGGTGCGATTTGTAGTGCCAAGCAGGTTCTGCATAGCGAAAAGAAACAATTTGTTCCAGTGCTGAGAAGTGTGCTACACGGTCTTCCTATCTTCATCCTTACATGCCGCGGCATAATGCCAGCATAATGCAAACCGTGCATGAACCAGGGCCTCATCAAGGTATTACCCATCCGGCATCTGAAGAGCAAGATTCTGCATAGTGAAGATAACCACTGGCAGACTGGCAGGAATGAAGTGCAGGCCACGGAAGTTGCAACTATTTTTGGACAGTTTTGCGCACCTTTCTTGACTGGTATTGGGTTGGATCTTTAGACTCTAACTTTTTGGGAAATCAAGGAGTTTTCCACTAACCCCCCCCAAAAAGTTGAACTTTTTGCGAGGGGGTCGACAGCAACCAAGTTTTCTGGTTGGCGGCTGCGCAGGTGGCAAAGCGGCTGGAGGCGCGGTTTCTCGAGTGCGGAAAGTCGCTTCAGTCAGATTTGGCCTTTGGGCAGACCCCGGAAACCGACTCAGCTGTTTGTTTTGTTGGTTCTGCCCCCTTGTTTGAAACAGGTTTAAGCACCTGTCGGACCTGTCGTCTGGTTTAAACTGACCCGTTTTGGCTCGTTTTCAGGGCACCAGTTCTTGGCACCGGCGTTTGATTGTTCATCGGCTGGGGGAAACGGAATCGACCTAGGACAGGACCCTTTGGGATGTCAGACAGAGAGAGATGCCCACATGCATGGCCTCCCAAAGCTATTGTTACTTCTTGTTGGTTTAGTTGTGTTTTTGCGTTTGCTTCCATTTGGTTAAGATGTTTTTCTTTAAGTTTCCCCTGTTGGTTAAGGGAACCTATCACTACTGTCTAAGCAAATCGAGGTTTTGGGGGGTGGGAAAGCTGGCCACGATCTCCAAGAAGACAATCCTGCTTAGGCCAAGGAAGAAAAGACGCAGCCGAAGCGTCTCTATCGAGGCCAGGCGCTGAGAGATGCAGTTTCTCAAGTAATCCTTAGTTGGTTTGGATTGCACCGATTGGAGGGAAACTGAATGCGTGTCACCTTCAAAGTCTGTAAGTTCCTGCACCATGTTTGTCGGGAGCCGGGGTGCAGGTTGCCGATGTTTCCAATGCTGAGGGGGTCGCCTCTAAACTAAATCTTGAAGTTGTCATTGGCATGAGCGACAATCATCACAGGCAACGTTTTTTTCTGTGTTGGCTTGTTTTCCCGCCACCATGCGGCCAAGTGTCCGTGTTAGTGTGCGTGTGTGCGGTGTTTGGGTGTTTGCTTGTTTGTGTGTGTGTGAGTGTGTGTGTGTGTTTGCGTGTGTCTGTGTATGTCTGTGTGTGTGTGTGTCTCTGTGTGTGTGTCTGTGTGTGTGTGTGTCTGTGTGTCTCTGTGTGTCTCTGTGTGTCTCTGTGTGTGTGTGTGTCTGTGTCTGTGTCTGTGTATGGGTCTGTGTCTGTGTCTGTGTCTGTGTCTGGGTCTGTGTCTGTGTTTGTGTCTGTGTCTGTGTCTGTGTCCGTGTCTGTGTCTGTGTCTGTGTCTGTGTGTGTGTGTGTTTGTGTTTGTGCTCGTGTTTGTGACAATGAATTTGTGTTTGTGAGTGTGTGTGTGTGTGTTCTTGTTGTTGTTTGTCTTCGTGACTTCGTGTTTGTGGCAATTTGTGTTTGTTTGTGTTCTTTCTGGTTTGTGTGTGTGTGTGTCTTCGTGTTTGTGACACTTTGTGCGTGTGTGTGTGTGTGTGTGTGTGTCTTCGCGTGCTTGTGACAAGTTGTGTTTGTTTGCGTTATTGTTCGTGGTTGTGTTGTTGATTGTTTGATACATTGTTTGATTTTGTTTGTTTGTTCTTTGCTTGATGAATTTGTTGATTTGTTTTTGTTTGTTTGATTGTTTGTTCGTTTGTGTGTGTGTCATTGCGTGCGATGTTTGTTTGTAGGTGAGGCGCCGCCGACCGCGACGGCGGCAAGTGCAGGCAGGCGCCATGAAAGCCCCACGCCACCAAACTGTCAGGAAACACAACATACAGATTCCCACCCGGAAGAAAGAAATGGAACACACAATTCAAACAGGACACCCATTTTGAAGGTTTCGGGCTACTCAATGCAAATGGGTGCTCCGTCTGGAGCAGAATGGTTGCAAATGGTAGGTTGCATTGGCTTCAGTTTGTTTTCAGAAGGACACCTATGCTCCCCACATGGCTTGTTTCCCGGACACGTTTCCCCCGAAAGCCAGCAAACGACAGCTGAATTTCTTGTTGCCCTTATACCACTGGTGATTTTGACAACGGTATGTTCTGTGACTTGGTCTGGTCACGCGCCTTTCGCTTGTGCCTTCTCCCCTACACGTACGTACCTCATATTTCTGACTTGTTCGGCAGGGGGCTTGAAAGGAACATCCGATGGATTTGGTCTCAAGGGGAAGCTGGAGGGGATTGCACCAGAAGGCCCAGCCTGTCGCACGGGAGCCACGGGACGTCTCCTTGCACGCGTTGCAAGGCGAACTGTTCGACAAGGTGGATCCTTTCAAAAAGCTTCCGAAAGGACGGGAACTCTGGGCAGAGGAGGCAATTCAGTTTTGCAAGGTGTTGCCAGCGGGAAAAACAAGATTATGATGACGCGCCCTTTCTTCAGAAGTCCTTATTTCATTTTTGTGGGTTACGGTTATTGCAGTTTGCCCAGGTGCCTCCTGATGCAAACCTGGGGAACAGATTTCTGGCCCAAGTTTTATAATGATGCCAAGGGGGCAGTCGCCTTCGCTGGGTCTCCTCCAAAACCGTTTGAGAGGACTAGATGTGGAACAGGCCCAGAACGTGTTATTTATAAGGAGCCCAGATTTGGGTCAAGTTTGAAGAAAGCCATGCAGATTGCACAGAGTCTCTGTTGGCCAGTGGTGCCCTTATTTCCTTTTTTGGGGTAAGGGTTCCAATTCCTTTAAACTCAACCAACCCCCAAAAAAAAAGGTGCCGATCCTTTTTTCCCATGGAAATCCACTGGGCATTTGAGGCTTGGTGTCAGAAGCTGTGATCTTCCGCAACCAGGGTTGTGGGATCAAGAGATTTATCCCCACTTCTGTGATACAAGGGAATCTTCTCTCTATATGGGCGGTTCGTCTTTGGGGAAGCCCATTTGTTGTATCACAGAAGTGGATTTCATTTCCCACAGCCCTGCCCACGACAGTCCACACCCATTTTGGCGAGGATGGTGCATGAGCGCTGTGAATTCCATGGAGAAGTGGAAAGAGAAGCTGCAGCATTTGCAGGCGACGAACTGGACAATGGGGCAGTGGGGGCATTTTGTTTTTGCGCAGCCATTCGTTTTGGCCGTGCATAGATGGGTGTGCATTAGAATAGGGGGCCCTCAAAACTGGGTGGTTTCCCTTTAGCTTCCCTTTCAACCAACTTCTTCTTGGGGTACGATCAAGAAGAAGACACACCCAGATGTCTTAGCATTTCGGCTGTTGGAAGCCGGGCTGGTTGCACAGCCGCGCAGCCCCGTGGCCATGGTCCAAACGACCTCATGGGAGGCTTCCCGTGAAGTATGCCTCCGGCCCAGGGGTTGGAGGGGTGCTATGAGCAATGACTCACTTCCTGAGTTCATGAACTTCAAACTTTTCGGGCTTGGACCATTTTAGTGGTACTTCTAAAGCTTGACAACTTTTTTTTGGGCCATCCACTCAGCCAGTGAGACGAGCAACGTCTCTTTGCTGCTCGTTTTTTTTTTCCATGGTCCCCTTGTCGCTTTGTGGTGCTGTGTGTCACTTACTCATGTACCACAAAACATATGTCCTGCCAAGAGGGCGCCCAGGGCATTCACAGGCGGTCCGTAGACATTGTTGTTGTTGTTAAAAAAGAAATATTGTGTGGGCAAGTATGTCTTTAAGCCCCCATTGAAGCTCCCGCAAGTAGGGCCTTTTGAATGGGGGACGGGGGTGCTTTTGTCAGTTTGGTCACTGGTTGGGTTCTAGTAAGATTGAACCAGCGGCATTGGTGAGGTGCCCTCATGTGCATGTGTGTCAAGACATGCGGGGCCCACAAAACCGCCCTTTGAATTCCTTCAATACCCTGTTGCCTTCAACGGGACCAAAGCCTGGGTTCATTTCCAACACCCGGAAGGGTCTTTCCCTACCTTCGCAGGCTTAAGGGCACCCTCAAGCCAACGACTTCCCAGGTCTTCTCCAGCCTCCTGGAGGGCCCGGCGGAGCAACACATGCTGCAGGCGGACGCTCAGACTTTGCAGCCTCTGGCGGTGACGCTGCAGCGCCTGCTGAAGAGCCGCCTGGCAAAACCCGAAGCACCCGCAGCCAAGGCCAATCGAAGCTATGGATGTTTTCGAAGGCTTTGGGCCAAAAGCCGCAGATGGCTTTGTTCGAAAAAAATGGGGCTGAAGTCGCTGTTCGGTTTTGCAACTTGTTGGCGACCACTTTTAGAGGTCGCGATGTCTGGTGGTCGCCCTTTATTTCTGCTGGGCAGGGAGCCAAAAAGCCACCGCTGAAAAATATTCCTTTTGACATCCACTCGTGGGTTGAATGAAGTCTTCAGTCAACAAATGGAACCCTAGCTGTGCGATTTGTCCAACTTGGTTTTTGCTGGCCGGACATTTTGCTCGTGTGACCCTCTACCTGGTAGATGAGAGCGCATGTGTTTCCCCCAGTGAAGGTTTGTTGCTGTGTGGGAAGACCATGTTAGCGACAAACAAAATCCAAAGAACTTTGTTTGGTGAGCCAACCATGCTAGTTGTTGCTTGGATTGTCATAGATGTCCTTTTTGTTGTTTTTGTTTTTGGTTTAGTTTGGTGAACCATAGTTGGACTTTCAGTTTCTAGGTGCCATCTATTTGTCCAAAGCGACACCAAGGTTCGCAGTTTGGATTCTATGAAGGCCCCCAAAAGGTCAACTTTCTGTTGGAAAGAGGGGTGCCCAAAGCCGATCTTTTGAACTTGATGTGTGCTTTGGCAAACTAAATCAAGGTCCAGGGGATTTGTGTTTTTCCAGTTCCGAAGATGTTCGACAGGTGAAAGCAACATCCCTGTGCTCACAGAAGTCGCAAAGTGCAGCTCGGCACAAGCCCGTTGTGGGCGGGGGTCTTCCTCTAGTTTCTTCGTGTGTTTCAGGAGTTTCCCGGTGAGGTAAATATGGATACCCTCCGGATGGTTCTAAAACTGTGCTGCTGCATGTGTCCTAGGGGGACCCAACTGGTTGGTTTCCTTTTGGCAAGTTTCAGATACTCTTATATTGCTGAGATGTTCCTCGGCACCTTGTTTCTCTTTCCTTTTGGTGTGGTCCCATGAAACGTCGCCATCCCCAAGAAGGGTTCCCTTCATATACCAGGGTCCCTGCAAAACTGAGTCAACGATTGCAGTTGCAAAGAGGAGCGACAGTTGGTTTTGTGGTACCGTTGTATTAAAAAAACAAAAGCGCGACTCCTATGACTTCCACACTCAGTTCCCCAGACCTCTCCCGGCACGTGCCCCACTTTGTTCCACCGAGGAGATGGGGTTACGGTGCTTGCCGCTGAGTCACTACGCTCATGGAAACCGTAGCTGTTCCAAACCTAGGGGTCCGCTTAGTTGCGGTGTGGGGGACCCGCAGACCTACATGTTCTTCATGCCCAGCCATGGCTGAAGTCAAACAAAATGGTTACGAGCTGGTGAAATGAGGGCGCCCCTCTTCAGGCCCCATGCAAAGAGCCTTTTGATTCTTGTTGGGGTTGCAGTCCTAAGCATCCCTGGGTGTGCGCCGGTGTGTTTCTTGGGGTAGTCCCAAAAGACCGAAAAAAAGCACACTAGCAAAATGTTCATGCAGACCTCTCTAAAACCATCCAACAAAGAGTCCCCTACTTTGAGAACCCAAACATAAATTCGCCGACCCCTCCAAAAAACCATCAACAAAAAGCTTGGGTCCCCAGTTTTTGTTGAACACCCCGGCTTGCATCAAAGCAAATTTCATGCCGACCCCACTCTTAAATTCTTGTGATGACAACTGGAGAAGATCGATGGTCGTTGTTGGTCAATCCCGTCGTCGTGTTTGATTGCGAGTCCGGAGACATGGACACGTTTGTTGAAGCGTTTACCAAAGCATTTGATTCGTTTTGATTGGTATTGCTGTGTGAGTTGATACGCTGTGGTTGTGAATTAAAGCCGACCCCTCACCAAAAAGAACAACAAAAAAGCAAACCATCCAACAGACTTGGGTCGCCCATTTTTGGTTTGAACCCCCGCCCAAAAAAAAATAAAAAAACTTGCATCAAGCAGATCTCTTCCCTCGAGCCCCAGGGATCGGATCCGAGGCATGGGCCTCTTGGCCCGGGGCCTGCGGCGGCACTTCGAGCGCTGCGCGCGGCAGCTGCTGCCCGTGGCCCTGGCGCGGATCAACGACAAGAGCCGCCCGGCGGCGGAGTGCGGGAAGCGGTGCGGGAAGGGGGCGGAAAACGGGCCATGGGAAATGGGAAGCCAGGAGGAAACCCCACCATTTTCCTGCGTTTGCTTGAGAATATGTGTTATTTTGGCTTGTTGGTTTGAAAAGGAACTCATAACTACTGGAAACTTTCTTATTGTTTTCCTGGGGCCTCAACCAAATGAAAGTTTTGGGGGTGCCAACAAAAGGCACAGCGAGAGATGCGGGGAACGAGACCTGGAATGATTCCGAGATAAATTCCATCCAACTGGTGGTTTGCTTCGGGACCAAAGCCTGGGTTCATTCCATTTCTCATTCCCTGCCTATTGCACCAGCAAGAAAATCAATGTGGAAAGGCGGGCGGTCGCGGAACATTTTCTTTTGAGTTTCCTCCAAAGAAAAGACGCTCCACTGCACATTGGACAGCAGGAGACTCCTGAACAAAGGATGGCTTTTGAACTTCCATGTGGTTGCGAATTGGAAAGGGAGTAGCGGGAGGGGGGTGAATCAGGATGCATCCACCCAGACCCTAGTGGTGATCCATGTTTTGTTTTGTTGATGGGGTGTCCGGTGGCCTTTTTTCCTTCCCGCGGCCAACAAGAGCCCGTGGAAAGAATTGGAGGAATCAACCTCACAACCGTCGCAGTTCACAACGAGCTTACCTCTGATGAAGGTCCTGTACTGGGGGAATTCACGCAGCGGAAGTGAGGAGTCACGGTTGTGGAAGGAATAATTTCCTCGGTCCAGCGGAAACACAGCAAGCACGGGAAGGTGCTGCAGGGTTCTTAAAGGATCAACTTTTGCGAAAGGATTTCTTCCCTTTTCCTATTATGTTTTGTTTGTTTATTTCCCTTGTTGGTTTTAGAGGAAATCTATCACTACTGGAAATAGATGGATGTCCTAAAAATCAACTGGTCAGGGGAACCCGGCTGAGAGGCGTTTGGAAGCCCAACTGCCTCATCGAGCGAGTGGAGCAGTTGTTGTGGTCGCTGCCTCTGGACGCCTTGCTGGAGGCCGGCTACCGACGGCCCCGCTGATGGCAGAGTCCGAAAATATTTCATACGCTCTGGGGGGGTACCTAGAAACCAAATGAAGCGAGGATTAAACACCACCTGGATAGCCAAGTTGCTGCTTTTTTCAGTCACTGTTGCTGGTTTTTGGGGTAAAGTGGATGGAAAAAAGCAGCAACTGGCAAACCAGGCATTCAGTTTTTTTGTTTTTTCTCTGTAAAGGGTGGGGTCCGGTTTCGGAGAACCCTAAGTTCTATGGGGGGTCTAGGTTGCTATACTTCTTCACTCCGCGTTCTTGCCGGTATGTACTACTTCCTGCTTGTGATTGTCTTGAAGGGAAGCAAGCTCAAAATTGTGGTTGCGCATTTTGGTGTCCATACAATCCAACCCACAAAAGGCTACCCTTGGAATCGGAACACCTCAACCATACGTTGGTTGCTGTTGACCCCTCAAAGATTCAATGGTTGGGGGCGTGGGTGGAATTCCGCTGGGGATCCCCATTTCTTTGCGCCTGTTCGCGAGCTCAAAGGTCGCGTAGGGATTCCTGAAATCGGGTGGGTGCAATGTAAGATTGCGTGCAGATGTTATGTTTCCATGTGCTAGACCAACTTCCCCCCCTTTGTCCCTCGGGTGGGGGATGAAAGGGCGACCCAGGCAAGGGAATGCTACAGGCACCCTGCAAGTGCTGGGTAAAATATGTTTGGAACCTTTCTAACAAGGCATTTGAGTCTGAATGCATTTGCTCGCCTCGCAGGTGTGCCATGAATTTGTCTTTGAAAACCCATGCCTTGAAATCGCAACTCTGTGGGGCTTTCGCAGATGGGCGTGGTTGCTTTTTGAGGATACCCTTACTTTGTGGCGTTAAAAAGGGAAACCAAAAGGAAACCACCCATTTTGGGCCTCCCGTCAAAAATGACACACACACACACACACACGCATGAGTGCGGCTGTGGCGTGAGCTGTGAAGGCTGCCTGGAAGGCTGTCAAACAATGGTCCATGTGACACATGGCACACGGTATGAACCGAAGCAACTCTTCGCATGGGAACGATGAATCGTGTCAAGCTCTCCATAGCTTTGGTCAGCAGTCTTAGGGTCTTTGGCGTGATGTCATGTTATTAAATTTGTGTGTGTGTGCGCGTGCACATCTTTGTCCCTATTAGCTCTCTGTGTGTGTGTGTGTGTGCATTTGTTACGTCGCTTCTTCGTTGGCTTCACAGGTGGTCCAGCAGCCAACGAATTGACAGGCTTTGTCACTGAACCTAATCGACGCCAGGAGCTCACCGGCCACATCTGCTCCAAAAGCCGCTTGGCAACGTCAGAGATCCAGCCAAAGAGCCGGCTCCCTTGAAACGGGTTGATTGGATTTGGGTTTGATTGCTTGCTTTTCTTCTTTGTTTACATGCTATGTATATGTATGCATGGAATACACAAATATATTGCGATTGTCCAGTAGCTGCCTGTGGTTCAACCCCCAGAGTTTCCATCGCCGTCGCCCCCAACAAGGCCTTATTTGTTGCCCACAAGCTGTGGCTTCGGCCCCCGGCCGAAGCCACTTTTGGACAACGCTGCTGTTCAACTTGTTCCTACTTGTTGCACTCAACTGCCTGCTAAGCCCAGCACTTGGGTCGCAACTTGCCTGCCTTGAAAAAGCCATGCAACTAACCTCCCCTTGGTACTTTTGAAAAAGCCATGCAACTGGCAACTACGGCAGCCAAACAGCAGTGGCTAGGGAAGTGGGCCTTGGACCACTGTGCATTTTTCGAGGCGCATTTGGTGCGACTGGCCTCATGAGATGTCAAGGCATTGACTCACAAATCACTACCCGACCGCGCCCACCGCCGAATGTTGCTTCCAGCCTTTCAGCAGTCACCGCAAAACATGCGCAGCTGGCTTCGCTGCTCATGGTTTGGACGAAGCAATATTTGAACCTTGAAAACTGGCCCGGATCCAACAAAAGAAGGCCGTTTGGACGCATGTTCTGGCGCCTGTTTCTATATGGAGATCAGTTGATACGGGAAATTCCATTTGGCGGCACGTTCTGGCAGGAACTGAGCAAGACTGAGCACACCATCTCACTTGCACCAAAAAAATCCACAGCCCCACAAACCAATTGGAGGCCACTGCGCAAGAATCAATTTGGATTGTTGGCCCGTGTATCTTTGCGGGCTTCGATAACCAAGAGAAGCCGTGGCTTTTTGGCTTTGGCCAATCCACTCCAGGAGGGTTTCTTATGTCCAAGGCATCCCCCGGCATTTACCTGGCCCCATTATTTTACCATGATCAAAGTCACCCCCGTTCAGTGGTGGTGAAAGGGAAACAGCCAACCAGTTTCTGACTTTGATACCCCCCAGAAGCAGTCAAAATAATGACCCCTGTTCACGGAGAGTCACGTCCGAAGCCGCAGGCCTTTTCGTGAAGAAGGAGGCGATGAGCTTGCTGCTGCGTGCATTGGAGCTGCCGCAGGCGCCGAGAAACCTGAGTTTCCTGCCTTCGGGTGGCGGGGCGTCCCGCGTCAGGGGATCAGCAAAGATGGGTTCGCGGTTCCCTTTGGTTGTTTTTGAGTTGTTGTTTTTTTTGTCGGGTTGGGAAACCAGAAGGAAAGCCACCATTTTGGATGGTCCCCGACAAAACGACACACAGATGGCATGTGCAACACGAAATTTCGTTCTATTCTAGTCAGTTGACAGGCCCCGATTTTCGACCGCCACTCCAAATGGGGTTATATGCACCCTCGGGGCATATGATATGGGTGTGTTTTTGGTAGAAAACAGCTGCGCTATGAGCGGCGTAAATTGTAATATGTGTTCTTCTCTTATACATCTATATATATATATATACAATATGTGTTTTTTTTTTTGTTGAAGCATTGTTGTTTAAAACATGTTTTTTGTTCCCTTTTAGGTGTAGGTTGGTTCACATGCCCAACCCTGGGTTCAGGTGCAGGACATGTATCCGGATGCCCTGCAGCGGTTCTTTCCGACCTGTGCCAGCATGGTGGTTCCTCTCATCGACGACTCCGACAACACGGTGCGCCAGGAAGCTGCCACACGGGCCGCAGGAAGTCCCGACGCCGGCTTCGTCCCCGGTTCCAAGCCACCCAGTTGCGCTGTTCTAATTTGAGCAGCAAGGGCGAATTGGCCCTAATCAGAGGGCTCCGAAACCAAGCACCCCTTGATCCAAGTTAGTGTTGACTAAAAGGGGGGTAGCCACCCTCCCCTATGGGTTGAAATGTTTTGGACCAAGACAAGGGGTGCAGCCTGCAAGCAATGAAAGAACACCCGGCCCCTTCTCAACCACCTTGAAAACTAAGTGCTCTTGAAAGGGATATAAGTGAATTAAAGAATAACTAAACACCCCTTCGCAAGGTGGGGTGATGTAAATGTGTCCTCCCTCAAACTTGAGTCATAGCGCGGCAAATCCCACGGGCCTTTTGACCGGATGGGAAGCTTCACATTCTGCGATCCTTTTGCAGCATCCCGGTGTCAAGTAATTGTCACAGAAGCGGGCTGGCGGCTGTTTGTTTTTATTAGAAAATAAAAATAAAAAGCCTACTAAAACAAAAAAACAAGGCGTTATGCAATCGCTTTATATTCCCAAAAGGACACCTTAAAAGAGGATGGGTCATTTTGTACTTTTACAGATCTCACCGATCTCACTTCCCGAGTTCCGGGACTGGATGCAATCTTTTACATGTTGTTTCAGAAGCTCGGACTTCTTGGGCTCATCTTTTTGATGAGCTCACCATGCGCCTGACTTTTTCCCATTCGAATCTGGAGAATTTGTCCAGAGTTCCCCTATTCAGCGCCAAATGGCGCAGCTTCAGGCGAAGACACTCGCCAAGCTCGCCTCCAGCAACCAAGATGCCGCCGACCAGCTCGTCGCAGCCCGGCTGCCGGCGCATCGAAGGAACCTCTACGAGGAGGAGGTCAGAAAGCTTGGTGGGGCCTTTATGGGCAAGGACCGGGGAACCGAGGCTGCAGTCAACTCCTAGCATTTCGGGCATTGTCTACCCTTATACCTCCCCAGAGGTACCCTCGCCTCTCTGAAGCTTTAGGTTTATTAGAGCATCCTGAATTGGCATCACCCATGGGCGTTCTGCTCGTGGCTTAGGTTTTGCAAATGGAGAAGGCAGGATCCACTTGGGACCACTCGAATGGATCAGTTCCATTGGCATCCCGGCATCCGCCACAATCCATTTGTCGACCCTTGTTCAAGTTATGGCGATCGAGGAACAAAAACACCGACTTGGCAGTCAAATGGGATAGTGTAATGCAGCCAGCCACCAGGACCCATATCTGATCCACCGCGTTCATGTTGCGGGCGCCCGGGAATGGGCAGTGCGAAGCTGCGGCTCGTGATCTATTTGGTTGAAAGGCCCCCCTTGAAGCCAGCAACCATTCGTGGGTGTCCTTCACCTTGGTGCGACGAAACCCGTGATTTGAAGCAATCGGCTATCCTGAGGGGCAGGAGGAACTCGGACATGTCAATACATATCGCCATCGGGATGAGGTAGATAAATTACCTTCCAGAGCTCCCCAGGCGCACTGTAGATTTCCACGGTCCATGTTAACGTTGCATTTTTTGTGCATATGCACGCCACCTCTTCTCTTCTACAAACAGTCCACACGAGAAACCTGGTGTGCCTCGAAGGCACTCAGGCGTTCAGACAGGTTGATTCATCCGCGCCCTCCATCAATCTGAGCTGCATCAAAGCACCCATCCGCAAGACGCCTCCGACTGTCCAGCATACATTCATGTTGATTGGGGACCCTGCCGTAGACATTTAGGTAGTGATTCGTGTCTATCCACCACATTTGAAGGGGATGGCCCATGAGAAGTCATGGCCTCAGCATGGGATGTCAAAGTAGGGTTCACTACCAAGCGATTCCTTCGGCGTGGCTCCTTCCGATTCCGAGCCTTGAGCGGCCCCAAGTCGCAAGCAGGATGCGGCGTCCCCGCCGGAGCTGCGGTCGGTACCTACGCCGCTCTCCCCAGCTACCACGCTGTCGCTTCGGGCCTCGCCGCTGAAGAAGCTGCAGGCTGATCCAACCCAAAGACTAGAAGCAAGGGGCGGTACAATTTAAAGATACTTTTTGGATTAGTTTGTCCTCTGTTTCTGGTCCGAACATGAATTATTTGTCAGGGTGGCTCCTTTGGCAGGGAAAAATGCTGAAAGCAAGGAAGCAACACAGAAAGGTTCTAATCTGAAATCTCTGCAAACGTCGGAACCCCAGGTTGAACTAAACTCCATGGCCTTTTCAGGGTTTGCATAAGCCTCAAACCCATCCCGAATCCCCCCACCTGAAAATAGCCATCAGAGCGGGGGGGGGGGGGGCGTAGTGAGATTCCATTTGCCACTTTCATGGTTTTTCACGGGTGGTTGAGGTTAGCCCCCATGTGTGAGACAAGGAGACAAGCGCCAGGGTTTTCGAGCCGTACTAATCCATGGGCCTGGCAGAGCTCAACAAATCAGGTATGCCTTTTTAAGAATAGGTACCCGTTTCGACTTTGTTTCGAAAGGCCAAACGGAGCAACCACCCAATCTGTTTATTTGTTTTTGGGGGAGGCGGAGTTCCCCTAGCAAAATGCCCCAGCTATCGACATTCCAGTGTTTTTTTTTTGCCGGTTGAGCCGCCTCGGGCTGCGCCTCGGGTCTCTTTTGTTCTACCGCCTCGCAGGCGGTCACGGTGGAGCCGGAAAGGCCACTGAAGCCGCTGTGGCAGGCAGGGTTCAAACGCAGCCGTTTCAGGGCTCGAGGACCTTTACTGATTCGGAAATGCGTGTGTCTCGTTGGTTTGAAAGGGAAACCAAAAGGAACACCACTCAGTTATATATATATATATATATACCAGTCCCTGGGCCACCCCCCCCCCCAATGGTATGGTCCCCCCACTCCCCCGCATCATCCGCATCTTGGGGATGATGCTGGCAATGCTGGGGATGCTGTCCAGTACCGTGTGAGCCCTGCAGCTTCGGTCCCAGACTCCCCCTTTCACCCCGTGAACCAACACCCCCGCACCTCTCGCAACATCTTACCCTAAACCAAACCACCCTGCAACCCCTCCTGAACCCCAACCCTAAGCCTAAATCAACCCAAACCCCAAACCCACCCGAAACCCACCGCAAACCAACCCTGAACCAACCCTGAACCAACCCTAAACCAACCCACCAAGCCTAAACCAACTCCGAACCACACCCCAACCACCCAACCACCCCACCACCCCACCACCCCACCACCCCACCACCCACCCCACCCCCACACACAAGGGGGGGGGGTTGAGGGGGAGAGGGGGGGGGGTCCACGGCCTGGAACATATATATATATATATATATGTATGTGTATATATATGTATATATATATATATATATCTATGTTTTTCTTTTTTTTTGTCTCGGGGGGGGGGGGCGAGATCACTAGAAAAAGACAGACCAAAGTGAGATGAGAGACGGGCATTCCCTCCTGTAACCTTCCCGGTTTCTCAGAACCAGCATCCCCCAACAACGTGTTGGTTTCAACCATGCACCAAAAACCCAGTGCTGGTAATAGTGATTTGCCCAGATGCTTACTCTTGCTTGGGTGGTTGAGGCATCACCTGGGCCATTGTTTGAGTGTTTGAGGATCCTTGGGTGATAGGGGACAAGGCAAGGAAGCCAAATCTTGCGAATCAGAAACCGATGAGCCTAAGTGACCCACAACTCACAGTGATTATTTTGGTGGCTGTTGACCCGATTCGGAAAATCCTAGCTGTTTCAACAAAAAGGCTAAAGTCTAAAGATCGATCCGTTATCGAATCGTAAAGTCATGGCCTTGAATGACTCCCCTTGCGAGTTGGCACTGAATCAGGATAGGTCGGAACTTGCCGCGGGTTGTTGCGGGGGCTATTCCGTATATGTTATCTAATCCCCAAGTAATCGCTTCCCCTGAATAAATATGGATCCCTCGAAATACACGTTCCGAGCGACTGGGAGTGGTTTCCCTTTCAGCCAACATTTGCTAGAGGGTAATTGATGTTGCTGTTGATGATGTTGCTTTGGACCCACTCATAAGTTTAGCCCTGAAGTTGATTTACTGAATGTGGGCGAGCCTAGCCCAGGGACACTTCCCCGAAGGTCCCGTTCATAGGTGAAGAGGGAAGAAACAGGTGCAGGTGAGCTGCCTGTTTTTACCCCCCCCCCGTTCTTCCAGGGTCGTTGCGAATTCATGCTGCGGTAGGCAGAAAGGCCAGCATCAGCAGCCAGAGAGAGACCAGCATCAGCAGCTAAAGAGAGGCCAGCATCACCGGCCGCCAGAGAGAGGCCAGCATCACCGGCTGCAGAAAGGCCAGCATCAGCAGCCAGAGAGAGGCCAGCATCACCGGCTGCAGAAAGGCCAGCATTAGCAGCTGCTTCACACGTCCCCTGCTGGCAAGAAGTTTTGGCAGGTGCTTGAAGGGAAGCCAAAAAACAAAACGGCCATCTCTGGGGCTCTCGCGGGTGCATGTTTTACTGGGAAGGCGGACAAACAACCTACCATACCAACCATTTTTGGGCCCGCAATTTTAGTTGTCCATGAGAAGTCACGGTGGTGACCGTTTGCTTCTCAAGGCTGTGCTCGCAAAGCTTAGCTTCATGGCCGTTTTGCAGCGCCATGCCAGGTTCTGGTTCATTGCTTGGACGCTGCCCCGGCCCTTGGGGCACCACGAAAGTTTGGTTCCACCAGCAAAAGGCGGTCCTCCAAACTGTGAAGGCTGTCAGTGTTTGGTTGGGCAGGTCCAATTTATGGCTTACTTTTTGATGTTGGCTGGTTTTGAAAAGCTCTCACAGCAACATCTAGTATCCTTGCCTGGCCTGGTTCGTTGGCAACTCAACTTGTTGTGGGCAATTTGTTCCGTCTGTAAATGGCACAAATAGTTTACTTGTTTTCGCTGGCCAGTCATTTAAGCTTTTCAGTGGCCCTTGAACGATGAGGGACAAACAGTGTTGAATCCTGGAGTACAATGCGCGTTTTATGTTTCGCACTACCATTGAGTCACTACCATCGAAATCGCTCGTCGGCCCCTCTTTCGAACCGAGCAGTTTGTGATTGTAGGTAGCACTCCATTGAGCGGTGCCCAACACAACAATTCCCTTGCTGCACGGGTTTGAAACGGAAGCCAACGGGAAAGCATTGCCAGGGATTGAAAGGGAAGCCAGCGGGAAAGCATACTGTACTTGACTGGCCATCTTTTTCGGGCAAGACTCTGTTGCCATGTAGTCTGTGTGGACCGTGTGCACCCCCTGTATAGCCCATCCATAGCCTCTGCTTTCAAGCACAACTGCATGCGTAGAGAAACATGAACGGAAGAAGAGAAAGAAGAGAGAGAGAGAGAGAGAGAGAGAGAGAGAGAGAGAGAGAGAGAGAGCAACACATATATATATATATATG